GGGGGGTTGGGGGGGAGGAGGGGTATTTCGATTATTTGCTTGTCAAAACTAACTCAGTCAGGGTGATAAGCAAGATTCCAGCAGACAGCGTTCTAGTTTAGTTTTAGTGAGAGTTTTGCGGCACTTGCTACACAACAAGATCATATAAGTGCAGAAGATTACAGGTGTTACAAGAGAGAAACAAACACAAAAAGGAGGAGGAGAGAGAAGGGAGATAGTTTTTTTTTAAAGGAAAAAGTAGTAAACTACACCTGAGCACCCGCCAACCACCCACCAACAGACAGACGGAGGTACATGACTTAGACAAAAATAATAAACATAACCCCATCCCACTCCCGCCCCTCACAAAAGACTCGAACTCATGTCTTCTATGTGATACGAAAAGGGTTTATGATTAACCCTCGGACACTGGAAAATTATCTCTCTCTCTCTCTCTCTCTCTCTCTCTCTCTCTCTCTCTCTCTCTCTCTCTCTCTCTCTCTCTCTCTCTCTTTCTCTTTTTCTCTCTCTCTGTCTCTCCCCCTTCTCTCTCGCTCTGTTTGTTTGTTTGTTTGTGTGTGTGTGTGTGTGTGTGTGTGTGTGTGTGTGTGTGTGTGTGTGTGTGTGTGTGTACAATTCTTCCATATCCTTGCTGTCATTCATCATTCACGTATGTCAAAATACGAGGTTTTCGGGAGAAGCCAAATTAAAACTTATTTAATTTCATGCAGTACAATGTGTTAATGCAAAATGTTTAGACTTCGTCTAAATACGATATTAGTTTAACAAAAGGAATGGCATTTGGGCCAATCAAAGGGCCAAAATAAAACTGAATAACATACATGAACTTTATTTTCGTGCTGTTCATAAATTTGACTCACAACACTGTTGACTATATTTTCAGTTTTGGTAAGAGTTTTACGGCGCTTGCAACCACAATAAGATCATGATATGTTTTGGTTCATAAGACGCATGCTGCGTATCCCATGGATAGCTAGAAAAACAAATGAAGAAGTCTTGGTTGAAGCAAATTGCAGAAGACAGCTTAATGACGAATATACGAAAGCGACAGGCAAATTTCTTCCGACACACAATGCGGAAAGAAGCATTAGAGAATGTTGTAACAGGCAAATTTGATGGAAAGAAAAGCAGAGGAGACAGAGGGAAAAGATACTGGACAAGATGACAGCATGGCTGGGAGCAGCAAGAACAACAGACAGAGTGAAGTGGAGGTCCATGATCGCCCACGCCAGTCGGCAAGGCACCGGATAATGATGATGATGATGATTGTCAAAGCTTAGTTCCAAGAGAAAGGTCCCTGAACCAGTCAAGCAGCAAATACGCCACCATCTGGTAAAGATACCAAACCATTTCCAAGAATTGGTCGGGGTGACGATGGCATCGAAGGTTTATTCCGCACTGAAGACGGTTTTATCAGCACCAAAACTGTTTCCACTTTCCTGTCTCTCATATTAAGTAGCATATTAATATTATTTATCGTTCTGAAATCAAATTAGAATAATCTCATAGCTGCTTCGTGTGCGCAAATCGATCTCCTCCCAGAAAAAAGAACAGTCCGGTGACCTCCTTTTCACCCTCAGTATCCTGGACAGAATATTTGTGGTGTCTTCACGATTTTGTTTATCGAATTTCGTCGTTTTTCTATATTTCCGTTTCAGTAAGAATTGTACGGCACTTGTGACCCCCCCCCCCCCCCCCCCCCAAAAAAAAAAAAAGAAAAAAAAAAAGAAGCAATTTAAGTGTCGTAGATTAAAGATATTACAAGAGAGCAACATTCAAAGAACTGAAAGAGTGATAAAAGGATATATGTTTGATAGAAAAAAAAAGAAAATCTCACCAAAGCACCTGCCATCCACGCACATGTCTTTGCACTCCGATCAAGACAGTTTAGCCTAGACCATTTAGGAGACAGATTGCGAGCATGTCTGTCAAACGTGATCCAGACTAAGATGGATACACCTTCAAAGAAGAAAGACCCGAAATACTTATCAACAAAATCTCCACACAAGGGAATCTGACTCGGGGTCATCTTTGTGAAACGAAGAAGCTCATAACTTCTACACCACACTGGTCTGAACATCTGTGACAACATGATTTTCCGTTAGAGGAATTCTGTAACGAGCGACCACTATTAAACAGACAGGGGGATAGCGCTAGGGGTAGGGGTAGAGGTAGGGTCAGGGTTAGGGTAAGGGTTAGGCCGGTCCCAGAGTGGCTCTGTAGGTCTGACCTGTACCTCGCCTAGCTCGCAAATGAACGATCTAGATCTAGATCTAGATCTAGAGCTAAAATCTAGATTTCGATTTCCTTTCCGAACTGCACACTCTTGGCTGGGTGCACAACAAAATCTAGACCTAGATCTAGATCTAGATCCACGTTCATTCATTAATTAATACTTTCTCTCTCTCTCTCTCTCTCTCTCTCTCTCTCTCTCTCTCTCTCTCTCTCTCTCTCTCTCTCTCTCTCTCTCTCTCTCTCTCTCTCTCTCTCTCTCTCTCTGTTTCTCTCTGAGCTAAAATAAATTAATTCTAGTAAGCATAGGCTAGACATACCGCCCGAGATGATCAGTTGATCAAGCCTGGCATTGTAACCAATGTAAACAATTGCCGCGCGCATATGCAAGTGTGCGTGTGTGTGTGTGTGTGGGGGGGGGGGGGGGCTGCACTTGGCAAATGATGTAAAGAAGAGTTGTCCCGTCTTGGTATAATTGGTCTTGGATTACACAGTACCTAAATATAGCAAGGCAGACCCGTCAGTTGCACACCTACACACGTCAGCACACTGTGTGTGCGGCTGTGCTGACACGCAGCGAGTGTGCGTCGCGCTCGCTGAGACACAGACGCCAACGCACAGTGCGGCTTTGCTGACACAAAGACGGCGTGGGCTAAGCGAGCTACAGGTCACACCGTACAAATGAATGTATACTACAGCTGTATCGTGTTCCTGAGCAGCGTGGATGTATCGCCTGTCTGTTGTCAGCAGAGCTGCGCGATGCGTCAGACGTGCTATTCGACAGTGTTGTAAAAATGGCGGACATGTGTCGCCTTGCTCCGTGTTTATTTTCGACTGAAACTCTTCAAAGATCATCAAAATCAGCAAGAAGCAAGTATTATTAGGTGCTTTACTATTAAATATTGATGCTAGCATTAACACTTGACCACAAAATCACCAAAAATACACTTTATCATACATTGAAACTTCGAATCGAGAGGTTGACCTAGTTTCGACTGTGTCGTATGCTAGGCCCTAGATCTAGGCCTGTGTGCTTCGCTAGATTCTAGGCCTAGAGTCTACATCTAGATCTAGATATCTAGATTGAGGTGCCGAGGGATGTCCCAAGAAAGGTCTAGATTCTAGATATATATGTATTATAATTTACATCTGATCTAGATATAGATTTTTAGTGTTCACCCCAGAATCTCTCTCGACTTGATCAATTCTAATTCTATTCTGGTGTGCAATATCGGTAGATCAAGATAACTAAATCACTCTAGGCGTAAGTGCCCCTGTAGTATTTTTACGTATTTCTTATTTACTGAATTAAATTTAGGCTATATATCAAATCTAGATCTAGGCATAGATATCTAGATCTAAGTTATAACTAGATTATCTCGGCTATCTAGAATCTAAAGATATAGATCTAGGGGCCTATAGATCTCGAATCTAGATCTAGAATCTAGATTTACTCCCACATGACAATGGACGTCATGTAAACATTAAACGAATTGCATTGCACTGTAACCAATGTAAATTGTAAACTATCGTCAGTCCAGCGAGTTACCTAGAATCTAGACCTTTCTTGGGACATCCCTCACCGGCATCTCAATCTAGATATTATCTAGATCTAAATCTAGATCTAGACTCTAGGCCTACAATCTAGAGAAGCACACAGACCTAGATCTAGATCTAAGCCTAGGCCTAGGGCCTAGCATACGACACAGTCGAAACTAGGTCAACCTCTCGATTCGAAGTTTCAATGTATGATAAAGTGCATTTTTGGTGATTTTGTGGTCAAGTGTTAATGCTAGCATCAATATTAGTAAAGCACCTAATAATACTTACTTCTTGCTGATTTTGATGATCTCTGAAGAGTTTCAGTCGAAAATAAACACGAAGCGAGACGACACATGTCCGCCATTTTT